CTGCCAGTTCTATTTCATAGCTTCTCTCACCAATTGTTCTTTCTTGACGTGTGTAGTCATAAATAACTCTCTAATTGCTTAAACAGAACTGGATCGCTTCAAAGTCTAGATGCCTGCTTTAAATCAAGGGCAAAAGGGACAGACGCTGTGAAAAAAGCTACCTTGCTCAGTTAAAGCAAAGCCTGTATCTAATAAACGTTTGTTTTATTAAGAAGGTGTGCTTTGTTGTAATTTGTTGACTAAAAATAACTACAGTTTGAGCCAACATCATTGCTTTGTAAAACAAAGAGAAAAACACCCCTACAGTAAACAGCACATTCAGCTCTTTTATTTTTCAAAGAATGGCTGGCAAATTTAAGCTGAAACAGTAATATTTTTCTTCACAAAAATAATATTAGTAGCCTTATTTCCATTTAATACTGCTGGGAAGGTTGTCAAATTTTTCCCCCGTATACAAAAACACATCCAATGACAAAATAGCACTAATTGCATTATCCATAATAGCACTAAAAAGAACAAAAAGGTAAATACAAATAGGGGGTAAGTAAATCTCGAATATTCTGCATCTGATTGCACAACATCTGATTCACACGGGTGCTTGACATTATTTTGTATCATACGTACTCTGGAACACATTAACTCAGAGACTGCCCTGTACTGGTATTCTAACCTAGATGAATTTTAGGTTTTTCATTTCAATATAAACTTCACTAAAATCACAGAAGATTCCAGTCCAGCAAGCAGTACCTTAACCACCAAAATATAACCTTAACTCTTACTGAATCAGCTCCTAGTCGGTGACACACATCTCTAGCCAGTTACCATCTTGGTTTAAAAACCAGTCTACTAATCTGTCTATTAAACAGGCTCATGCTCCAAACATCAAACCTTCTAAGCACTTTAAACTTGAACACGGCAGGCATCCTTCCTGGGTTGTCTTGCAGAAATGAATCAATGTCTTTAGCTGCAGCTTTCAACCTCATTAAAAAAAAAAGTGCCAAAACCACATGCACATTTAAAAGACTGTAGGAGGTACGTACTGTAGTGGTCCTGGTTTAATTAATTCAAGAAGTTCATTGCACAATACATTAGCAGGGGAAAATATCATTTCAAGGGTTATTTCAGAACCATTCATTTAGCGATTTTCTTCATCTCAGAGAGAAGAAGAGTCAGAGGTCCTGCTCTAGGATGCACTTTCTTTCACAAAGACAATGAGGCAAAGACCCGCTACAAGGCAGATTTGGGCCAAAAAGCAGGGAGATTATTAAAAATGCACATCATGCTCACCACTAAAGATTTCTGTGGTTGTTACTGCAGTTGGCGCATTAGCATAGCTTTGCCTCTCTGATATTAAGAATATTACACGTTCTATACAAACACGTGCTGTCAGATTTGGGGATAAACTGATTGCGAAATGACCAAATCTAAAGTTAAAACCAGGGCCCAGACTTGGTAGACCACACTTGTGGCAGTAAGTAACGGCAGAGGCAGCCCGTTTCCTGTGTAGCAGAGATGACTCATGTGACAGGTGCCACATCCTCCGGTGACATCACACAGAAAAGCCCTGCCAATTGCAGAAGTTTGGGAAGTCTTCATTAGAAACTCAGCTTAAATCTGCCCCGTCCCCCAAACAAATATGTGCAAATGAAGAGATAAACCAAATGAAACCAAGAGAATCCGTCTGCAGAACTGGATCCTAGGCAAAAAGTAACCGATTCGGACCACTTTCTCACTTCCATGGAGACCACAAGGGTAATGTAATCACCCCATGTGCCAGGACACCTTACGGACTACACAACTGAAAAAGGAATGAAAACAGTGCTTTCAAAAAAAGGTCTCTCTGCCATTCAGGTCTTAAGGAAAGAAAAAGTGCTTGAAATGTTTTTAGCTCCTGCTACAATAAAAAGAGAACATAAAGCACATTTAAATGCAAATAAAATTAATAATATTAAAGCAATATTATTTCACAGTATAAAAATTAGATTAATAAAAATTAAAATCTATATTTACATGGCCAACTATGTCACAGCAACCTGAGAAGGCCAAAATACTACTTTCTGTATTCCCATTTTCCGCGACCAAGATAATACACTTTTTTAAAGTATGATTTCAGAGTCGTGTCAGTCACTATGTTCCCTATTTAAGCCAAGTGACTCACTTTTTACATTTCTATTTGCATGTGATTAAATTCCTACCCAGGTATTACTTGTTGCTTCTCTTTCGCTATTTCCTAGCAAGCAGATCCTGTTTCTTCAGCAGCAGGAGCAGGAGCATGATCAATTGAGCAGACACATCCTGCTGTCCACTGAAAAATGACTGGGGTTTACAGAAAAAGCACCTGGCACTGATAGGCCACTCGTCTCTTCAGGAAAGGAAGGTGATGAGTTACACGTCTAATAATGAACTGCACATTGTATAGAAAAATCCTTACTTAACTCTGTTCCTTTTCCAGAAACTTCACTTCATGTCTGGATGGTCTGCTAAACTGCTAAACTCATTTGGTAAACCTTTGATTTTCAATGAGAGTCTCCAATCTCCAACGAGTGCAAAAACTGTTTGGAACATAGATGAGAAAATACAAATATAGTAAATATTTTTTCAACTCTCCCTTTGATGTTTGCATCCACTATAAGCTAGAAATTCTAAGGTAGACCTTTAGGTCAATTTTAGGAAAACTAAACATTTTGCTAAATGGACTCCACTTTGCTAAATCCAAATAAGATTCATATGATAGTCCAAAAACTTATATTTCTTTCACTCTTCCACATAAGTGTGGCTTCAACTGAAGGTGAACTGTTACTTTCAACAAATGAAGTATAATGAAGATTTTATTTGCACCACTGAAATGTACCATTCTGGAGGCATTAAGCAAACCTTTGCTAAAGCCTGTTAATGTTATCAGACGGTTCCTAGCCGTAATCCCTGTTCAGTGGAGTTTCTCCAGAGTGACTCATACGCAATTTATTGGCCTAAGTGCACTGGCAGCCTGACACAGGAATAATTGGCCGTCGTTGGCTTCTCCTGATGTCCCACAGAGGCTTCTACTACCCATACCTTCCATAATACAGCCAGATGCAGATGTGCCAGGGCAATCCCAGGTTTCGAGACTTCACTTTTTAAGACGCAGACCTAGCCAGTGAATGTTTATACAGTACGTTTAGAGAAAAATAAAATAAAGACTGCTACTGCACATGGTCCAAACCCTAGGCATATTTTCTTACAGGTGGGCTAAAAACGCATTTTGTTAATACTTCACATTAGGGTTTGACAGAAAGACATGCTCACACACCCCATTATTCAATGGAATGTGTGATGCATATTGCTGCATAAAGCTATAGCCTTTCACTGCAATACTGAACCCACAACAGCTTCACACATTTCTCTTATCTGGTCAGAAGCCCACTGCTCACTCTTGTGTTCTTATCACACTGCCTGAACAAACTGATAAACACAATGACTGGACAAAGCCTTTATCTCAAGACTCCACTACCTACAGAATACAGAACCTATTATTACCTTCTACTCTATACAGTCTTAATATTCATATTCTAAGCACCTTATTCTAAGTTAACTAATATGCCCTCTTTGTTAAACATACATTACCAATGAATAATTAAACAATTTTAACTATTATATAAACTATTATACACTGCTCGACTGCTGCAACTCTGTATACTGTTTTATTTAGATCTGTGACACATGCTGTACTCCTTCACAGATCCTAAAAGTATATTCAGTAAAGGAATTTACTGATGGCACTACATTGCAGAAATACTAAGCTAATAATCCCTAAATAATAGGGAGATTCATAAATCCTCAATGTATTCCCACAAATAAATAATGTGTTAAAGAAAGAAACCTTTATGCTCTCTTAAAAATAGGATTTAATGCAGTTGAAGGGGCTGGACTTAAAAATTCTTCTGAAAAGTGCAACATAGTAATTTTTAAGAATTGTGTTCATTGCTGGTCTACAAGGCAGGCTGGCAATAAGTCCTGTTGTGTGCCTCCAACTGGACGTCACATTTGAACTGTCTTATCACTTTCTCAATTATTTAACAAATGAGGACGTTAACATTTACTGTAGTTGTAAACAGCAACAAACACATAACTACAGCATAAGAATAAACAAAATGCCCTTTATTCTGAATCAATGATACTTTATTCTGACCAGCGGATCAATGAAGACCATCCTTTGATGACAAAGCTGGGAGAAAGATAAAGATAGAGAATGCTAGATCAGTACTAGATCACTGCTTTCCCAGGCCTATATAAAATATTGGTAGCTATTTAGAGTGGCGAATTGCTAGTAATGTCCTTTTTTCTTTTTTTGAACAAACTTCCTTTCCCGTTCACTTTACTGAATAAATAAATGAACTAGCCTCTTGTTCAGTATGTGTTCAGAGTGTGTTACCAGACAAAACTCAGAAGGAATTTTCAGTGGGCCACACTTCAAAAACTAACATTTAGAAGAACCGTTACTATGACTTACCAAAGTTTATAATGATTTTTATCTCTATGTCCGTCCCTACGTTTCACATTCGACTTTTGTTGTGTACAGTTTGGCCTCCCTACTGTCACACTCCCTTTAATTAAACTTGTGAGGCGGTCGGTATCTCACTTCTCTAAATGACTTGTTAGGGCGAGTCACCCAGGCGGGTCCAACATCAAGTGGGTCTCCTATATGTAAAACGCTTTTTGGGGGGTGGATGCTATTTAAATGCAAGGATTGATTAATATAATAATGAATATCCGTTGTGTAAACCTATGCCATACACCACGCAAACCTCGTCTTTAAGAAGTTTCTGGTTAACTGACTCCCCCCGCGTCGTCTAGACAGACCTCAGGTACAGTAGGCATCTTTGAAACAAGTGATATCTTACATCTACCCATTATCGAAAAATCACTCCTCGTGTGGCCAAAAAAACAAAAAGGAGATATCCTCAGCCTTCTGCCCACACAGTGCGGGGACGTGATTTTCAAAGTCCTCCGCCGACACTTACCTGCAAGTAAGGAGACGGGCAACACCACGCAGTAGAGCAGTCCGCACAGCACCTGGACTTCCATAGGCGCGTCCTGGCTGAAGGCTCCTTCACGATCCCAGCCAGCCTCCTCCACGCATTCCCGGACTCGCAGCGAATTCCAGCAGAGCTACTCGGATTCCATTCAGAAGGCACCGCTGAAGGTAACAATCAAAAGCGCTTTTGAGAAAACTCGGAAAAGGGGAGGGGGAGAAACCGAGCCGGACCGTCACTCCATGTTACAAACTCGGCGTGCCCGCGAAGTTCATATTCAGCGGATAGTGTTCAAAGTCATCAACTCCAGTGCATCTTTTTATACATCCCCGTGACATCTCTTCCTGTGCACGCTTCTCGTCGTATTCTTCTTCACGCAAGCCAGAAAAAAAGAGAGAGAGAGAGAGCGCCTAACTTTTCCAAGAATCCCCCCCTGTTTCTTCTTTCACTTCGTCCAGGGTCCTCCGCTTCGTGTGGATAGTCTCTGGAAGAAAAAAAAAATATCTGCATGGAAAAACTGAATCACCGGCGCTGTAATAAAAGAGCCAACTGTTCTTTTCAGTTTTTCTAAACTCACCACGGATGCGACGGCGCGTCTTGCTATCTGCGGTAGTTTGGGCTCCTGTGGCGTTTTCTGCAGTTTAAACACTTGTGCCGTGCGTTCCTCGTCCTGAATAGGTATCAGGCTGCCTTTGGAGTCGCTGATCCGTCTACCTAAGTACTACTTTGATGCTAAGTAACTACACCCACGACTGTGGAGGCGCCCACTGGTCTATAGCTTCCTATTCTAAATCCAGCCCCAAACTACTGCAATAATACGAGGCGCGTTGCTTCAGCTGACAGTTCTCGGGAAGACTTTTTCGTCAACTAATAATGCGTGTAATTTGGTGTTTCTGTTTGGTAACTCACGCATCCTCGAGAATTAATGACTTCATGTGTGCGAAGCTGAATTATTTTCAGTGCACGGGCTGAAATAGTTTCGTACATTCCCCCAAGTTCCGATGCCATGCGTAATGACAGTATTACACCATCTCCGGGGGAAAACAACCACATTTAAGACCTTCTGAGTAAATATCGGAGCGTCGGGTACGATTACTCGTACACATAAAACCATTCGTTACTGCGGGAGAAAAAAAAATAGATGTTTGTTTTAAGACAATGCCCTTGTGAGTAAATGTGCCAAGTGTGCCTGTCTACTTCAGGTTTCCTTTAGACTTTTATAATTTATCGCATTGCTTTGCTTTTCTCCGTAGTATAGTCTTAAAAACGATTTTTTTTTCAATACGTGTAGAAGCTTGTTTTCACTCTTACCTCGGCGGGGTCCAAAGCGTTTCTCACTGTCACGGTAAACGCAACACAGTACTTGAGCCTTCAACTATTTTCCAAACCTGTGGGTGCTTGTCTCCTTGTTTACTCTTTACGATTCGGCCCAGCAGGTCCGCTGACAAACTGAAGCGTCTTTTTTTAGCCGACCGGACATTTTAGCCAAAATCCATTGCAGAATACCAGCTCAATATCTACTAGTCAACCGTGCATATTACGTGCCGGGTACTGTTCAGTGGTCACAAACACTTTTCATGCGGTGTCGGCGACTTCGGATTCGTTGATAACGGCGCCCCCTGCTGGTGTAAAACTAGATCACATTGATCTTGGCGCTGATGTAGTGGATCAAGTGTGCTGTACTGTATATTTGTACAAGGTCACTTAAGCCAGAAACGTGACATTAACGCTGTACGACGAGTAAGGAAACATAATATGATAACCTTTGTTCGGTGAAACGAGAAGAGGCCATTCAATCTTGGGTAGCCCGTTTTGTAGTTGCTTCTCAACGTTTATGAAAGGACTCCAGATGTTGTCGGCTTAGACGGCACTGATGGGTCGATTTTTGCGAAAAGAAATGACCTCTTATTCTCGATTTTAAGTGTACTTTCGCGCAGCTTCCAGTAGTGTTATCTAGTTCGTGTCTCAGGGTTAGTTTTTGGGTGACTTTGCCAAAAGGTGGGGCTGCACACTGGTGGTGGTGGAGGGGATCCTTATTACCTGTAAAGCGCTTTGAGTGGAGTGTCCAGAAAAGCGCTATATAAGTGTAAGTTATTATTATTATTATTATTATTATTATTATTATTATTATTATTATTATTATTAAAAGACCTTTGGGGATTTCGAAAACTGGACAGTTCCCTGCGTGGGCTCCCGGTTCAAGGCTAAAAATATTAAGCTCTTTTAGCAGTATAAATTAAGTTACAATGCATAGGTTATCTGAGTTCACGTAACAGTATTTATAACAATGTTACATTACAATTTAAGTAACATCCGCAGAAATCATCACATTTGCGTACTGGGGTAACTGTCCTGTGATCAGCAGAGCATTTTTATGTCTGGGCGGTTTTTATTTGCCTCTAAAGAAGTGGTTCCCAGACCTGGTCAACGCCTGCTGGGTCTTGTTCCAGCCTATCCTTCAGTTACAGAAGCAAACCCTCCACTGACTTAATAATAATAATAATAATAATAATAATAATAATAATAATA